CCCCCCCCCCCCCCCCTAATTCTACTTGTGCGCGCTCCACCATAACTATTGCTTTGCCGTTTCTTCGGCGGAAACAGAACGTTTATACCGCCACCGAATTTTCTGTCACGTGATCTTTCCTTTTCGCGAAAAAAAAGGTCAAGCAGAAGAAGCCCTTCTCTTATTTCTTCCGAGTTTTTTTCGCCTATTTGTTCTCGATTAGGTCAAAAATCTCGGCAGATTTTGAATTTTTAGCAAAAAAAAAAAAAAGACGATAGCCCGTGCGCATCATTTTAAACCCAAAACTTGGCAAAATTCCGAGAAATTAAAGCAGAATAGTCTTTGGAAAAGAAACTCGCATTCGATTCAGCTATCCATTTCTTTATCGAATGCGAGGTTTTTTTCGTAGCACTATTCTGCTTTCAATTCTCTGAATTTTGCCCTATTTTAGGTTTAGAATGATTCTTTCGGCTCATGCGCAGGGGCGATCGTCCTTTCTTTTGCTATAGATTCAAAATCTTCAGAGATTTTTTACCTAATCGATGCGATGTACCGCATGCCAGTTCGACCACGTCACTTGAGCTTGACGAATCCCTTATTTAAAACAAAATTGGACGGATTTGAATAAGAAAACTACATCGCCATTCACCATTGAAACATGATTCCATGTCCTGCATGCATTCTTATGCTCATAAATCTTAGGGCTCATGTCAGAATGGATATTGTCCCTTTTAATATACAAAGACGTTCCAATGAAAGAACCTCCTACTTTCTTCCGCTGAGGAAACGGCGAGGACAAGTGAGAAGTCTGCGTGTGAAACTAGAAAAAGCGGTTCTACATCTCCTTATTTTGCTTCATTGAAAACACGTGTTGCAAAACATCTCGGGAGGCTATTTCACGACTTAGTTAAATTCATCTGCTGCTTTATCTTTGGAAGAACTCTTTCCACACCACCTTAGAGAAACCCTCTTCAAAATAATCAGTTAACCGTCACCAACACACACTTGACTTAAATTAATCTTTGTTTTGGAGACGGCTAACTCATCATTTCGAACAATTGGACGTATTTCTGCCAAATGGAACTATGTGCATAATGACGTGAGCCCTGTCATGCACGTATTCTAATGGGTCTCAGGGCTCATGTCTTAATGCACATAGTTCCGTTTGGCAGAAATACGACCAATTGCTTCTCCTTGCCCGGAAAGGTCGGTGGCCGTGGACGTTCACTTGGACTTGGAGCAAATGTTTTAACTCCCCGCAAATCAAATTGCATATTCAACGAGATGAAGGAGCCTAGAATGATTGCGATGATCGGCAGCCGAGTGCTGCCGTGCTAAGGATGAACGCCGCGCCGTCTGAGCCCTCAGACGTTGCCACGCGAGTTTCCTCCTATAAAAATCGAATTTACTGGGAAAATTTTGAATATTATTCTCCAAAGTTTTCTGACAATTTTGTACGCAATTCAATCTAAAATATTTAAAAATGTCAAGGAAAAATATGCATGAATGTTGTCACAAATTCATGTTTTATCAAGGGACTTTTGGCATCTCTCGAATGTTCATACGGCGTTCTTCCCTAGCACGGCAGAGCAGCTGAAGTAAGGGTGCCCCTCGGCTTGCCCCTTTGACCTGCACTGAGAAAAAACTATGGTTTATAAACCTATTAGAGGTAAATATGGAACACCTATAATAGTCGTAAATAAACTAATGATTCTCGGTCTGTGAACCATACTAAGGTCTCTGTACCTAATTAAGGTACCCCGTACCATAACTAAGGTATATGTGCTATTATTATATGTAGAGGTACTACTATTAGTGGTGTTCCATATTTACCTCTAATAGGTTTATAAGCCATAGTTTTTTCTCAGTGTGGGTCAGAGGTCCGCTACTATCTCGATACATTATTTTAGCATCCTGATGTCAGGATTGCATACCCGACAAAATGAAGGAACTTTGAGAGATTGGAGTGATCGGCGACTATCCGGCCAAATTAGAGTACCATACCTCGGAAAAGTGTAGGTATTTCTTTGTTGCGGAATTTGTGGAAAAGCGGTTACAATTGTTGAGGCCCCTCTCAGGTATCTAAATTTAAATAAATAATCATAAACTATCTAATGAATAACGTAATAATTTTACGCACAAAATGACAAAAATGAAAAAATGAAGGCATTACATTTGGATTGCATTTTGCAAAAAGGAACCACTAGCATTGCAATGATGTTAAGATTGTGCAACTTCATCCTTTGCAATAAAATTGCGGAAATTGTGAAAAACTATGAAAATTTGATGGCAATTTTTGTCTTAAATTTACAATTTTTAGCGAGTAAAATAGAAACTATTCAGGGATAATCAGGTTTTTCCTCCAAGACAAAAGAAGTTGCACAATCTTAGCAACATTGCAACGCTAGTGGTTCCTTTTTGCAAAATGCAATCCATTTAAGTTTAGGTTCTTCTGACATTATCGCGTTCAAAGAAAGTCACGAATTCCACGGAGAGAGGGTTTTTTAAAGCTACACCTTGAGTTTCGTTCGTGATATGGTCGGCGTACTTTTTCTAAAGGATATCAACCACCAGGAATATTTATTTACCCACGACCGTAAAGAGCTTAGTAACTGTCTACCAATCATGGACCGATGGAAAAGCGACACATCTTTCCAATACTAAAAATATATGAAGGGAGTTGCTCTCCCTTTACGGGCACTTTAGTCAAAGTGAGTGCCGAGTGTAGAATGCTAAGTCGAAAAGTCCCTACACGCAAGTCTAATTTTCCATCGTATGCTTTACTTTTGCAGAAGCTACCTATAAAGATGCCAGTTAAAGTATATTTTTGGATCTAGGAGCACGCAACTATTCGCAAACGTAATCACTAACGTTTTTTCGAACGCGCATATTATTGGAGACTTAAACGCTAAGTCAGAAAAGTAGATAAATGAGTAAGAAAATTGGTAGCACTCGTTCGTCGCCAGACTGAATAAAAGGAAGAGGAGGGGAGGCAGGGCTTGTTGCGAGGATGATGACAAGTGAGGAAATACACATAGTATACATATTCTAAAATTAGGTACGTAATAAAAACCCTAAACATTACGAGGTGGTATTTTTACGTAAAGGAAGACAAAAAGCACTTCTTAATTGATTCATTCATACGTTTCCCAAACTGAAACATAACAATCAAGCAAATGAATTGTGTCAATGGAAAATTTGCAACGTTACTAAGCTAGTTAAGGGCTTCTACATACAATAAGAATGAAAATATATCACGAAGAGCCTAACTGTATGCACAAGCTCTGGATCTGGCTTATGATGTTGCAGTGCACGACCTCGACACTCTGTAGAAGTATCGCCAATAGTATTTCTTTGAATTGAAGGCGATTTATCTTCAGTCGTCGGCTCTTGACAAGTTTCGCAATTTTTCAAACAATACTTTGATCCAGATAAAAGCCAAAATCGAAGGAGATAGATACTTGAATGTAAATAAGTATTATTCTTGCCTTGAAATTGACCTTCAATATTAATCATCTTTCAATGTTTAATACAAACGGCAATCTTTAAACATAAAAATTATTTTTGTAATGCATACAGTTAATTTTGTGAGCAACATAGTTGCGAAATTCAACCTACGAAAATCAAAGCAGATAGCAAAGCTATCGCAAACATTTTATCCACGTGGATAAAAAAAAGTGGCTTTAATGCATTCCAGTAATCAAAGTTTTTG